AAAAGGCTCAGCATTCATTTGGGGGTGGTGGCTTCTGGTTCTTTTCTTTAAACATTTGTCATATTCTATCATCCTATCTTAGTGGTATCGGAGAAGACAAGTGGAAAATATTCATTTTTAACCTTTCTAATTTTTCTTTTAAAGCCCTGGGTGCAAGGGTGGGTGATTCTTTCCATGACAAACGGCCAGTTCTACTTCCTATTTTAATTAGAGTGTTTTGGGGTACAAATGTATTTGTTTCCTAGGGCTGCTGTAACACGTACCGCAAACTGGTGACTTAAACCCCGAAATCTATTGTCTCACAGTTCTAGAGGCTAGACGTCTGCGATCAAGGCGTTGGCAGAGCCGTGCTTGCTCTGAAGTCTCGAGGGGAGGGTCCCTCCTGGCCTCTGCCAGCTTCTGGTTGCCACAGGCATTCTTCGGCATGTGGCAGCATAACTGGAACCATTTCCTCCCTCTTGACATTATCCTCCCTTTGTGCATATCTATGTCTACATTTCCCTCTTCTTATAAGGGTGGTAGTCACATTGGTTTAGGGTATGTCCTGTAGGACCTCGTCTTAACGAATTACAACTGCAATGACACTATCTCCAAATAATGTCACCTTTTGATGTCCTGGAAGTTAGGACTTCAGCGTAGCTTCCTGAGGGACACAAGTCAACCCATAACAGGGAGGCACAGAAACAAGCGCTAAATAATTTAGACAGAAAAAGGACTTTATGAAAGGCAGTGGAGGAATGTGAGCAGCTGTGGGGACCCAGCACCGGAGCTCATGTACTAAGTTGTTGCCATTAGTGGGACTCAACTACAGCAGTTCTCAATTCTCTCCGTTCAGGTTCTGGGTTCTTGGGTGAGAAGGTTTGAATGGCTCAACAGCGGGGGTCAGATATCCATCCTGGTATCACCAGTAGCGACTGGGGACAGAGTCATATCATGTAGATCTACCTGGCTGCTAGGGTGCACCTCCCCTACCCTCAAACCCAGGCAAAGGGCTGTTCTGAAAAAAGTTGGAAATGATTGTGGACCTGTCAGGAGATGCGTGTCTCCCATACTTCTGTGATTCAGTCAATAAGGGGTGAGCTACATACTACCTATTCGCCCAGCTGTCAAGGAATCTGGTGTACTTCTCTTATTTGCTAAAACATCAGCTTTTATATTTATCTACTTTTAGGCTTCAGCAATAGAGCGTCACTGTATGTAAGGGGGAGGTGGAAGCTCATTGATAGGACAGGCTCAGTAACATTCATGTATGTACTCAGTGTTGTCTAAGGTAACTGGCTCCCATGGACCTTAGTGTAACTGCGAGGCGTCCAGAGAAGTGTGAGGCCTTCGTCAGGGTGGGATGGCCTCAGTCACTCAGCTTCCCAAGGCTCTACTGTACCTTCTTCTCACTCTTTCCATAGTTTACTTGGTGAGAGACTGAGCCCCAGAGGGGGGAACTGATTCACCCAGGCCTTGCCATTGCTCTCTCAACTTCCAGTTAGTTACCCCTTGGACACAGCAGGCAGCCAACTGTTTGGTTCTCTATGGTTATCTAGTGACGAGGGTGTATATGTGTTGCATGTGTGTGTGTTGTATGTTTTATATGATTCCTGTTAAGCATGAGTTTATTTACACTAGGGGGTAATATTCATGGTACTGCTTTTCCATTCCTTTTAACATGTTGTATTCCAGCACAGCGCTTCTCCAACCTTAACGTGCAAGGAAATCACTTGCAGATCTTGTAAAAATGCAGCTTCTGATTCAGTAGGTCTGGGATGAGGACTGAGCCTCTGCATTTCTAACAAGCTCCCAGGGCGATAACAATGTTCCTACCCCACGGGCTGCATTTTGAGTAGCAAAGCTCTAGCAGATGGGTGTTGTACTTGAACTTATAGACGTGTATACAGTTGACCCTTGAACAACACGGGTTTGAACTGCGCAGGTCCAATTACACAGGGATTTTTTTTTCAATAAAAACTGTAAATGTATTTTCCTTATGATTTTCTTAATATTTTCTTTTCTCTAGTTTATTTTATTGTAAGAACAGTATATACTACATATAACATATAAAATATGTGTTAATCAACTATTTATGTTATCGGCAAGGCTTCCTGTCAACAGGGGGCTATTAGGAGTTAAGTTTTGGGGAAGTCAAAAGTTATATGCAAGCCAGCCTAGTGGCTCAGTTGGTTAAGAGCTCGCTCAAGAGTTTGAGCTCTGAGCAACAGTGGTTCAATTCCCAGCCCGAGCTGAGCTGCCGCTGAGCTGCCTGCTACCTGTTGCTAAAAAAAAAAGTTATATGCAGATTTTTGACTGTGCAGGGGAGGAGGGGTCAGTGCCCCTAGTCCCTATGTAGTTCAAGGGTCAACTGTATATTCACATGTATACAAATGTTTGCATGCACAAAATCAGGAACACAGTTATTATTTTGGAGAAAGAAAATGCTAAATCTAAGTAGAGTTTACTGAAATTCCATCTTGCCACAACAATCCTCCTCATTTTGTACTGTGATGAATCATTTACATCAAGTCATTGTTTCTGTTCTCTAAAATAGCCATTATTCATAACTTGAAGTTAATGAGTGTATATTGCTCTCCAGACTCTATTAAAATTGCTTGCACATCTCATTGAGTCTGAAAACCAATGTCATTTTATGGCCCTCATTTTGATTATATTTTAGAGGTTTATTGATAATCAAATAAACATGAGAGCAAATATCATAATGGATTTTCTGGTTGCTTACTAAAATGACTGGGTTTTTAAAGATTTTTTTTTTCCCCAAGACCCCATTATGGTTTCCCCAGTAAGACATTACTTCACCCTCAGTAGCATGATGTCAACAAAAGTGGGCTGCTCTGGAAAGATGTATTTTATTTATGTGTTTTTGTTTACCATAAAGTCTTCTGGGTACATGAGGGAAACCAGCCAATTAAGATTGCCCTCTCTCTTTCCAGGCCCTTTAATTATTTATTGTCTAAGAATAGATTGAACATTTTAGATAGAGAAGACTTTTTTGATGGATAGACCCATAGTGGAAATAATAATAATCATGATGATACTAACACTAGCTCTCATTTTTTTCATACCTACTTTATATCAGGCTCTGTAATCTGTACTTTGCATATATATTCATGTTTTGCAAACTGGGATCTCCAGACCTTTTTTTTTTTTTTTTGCAAGTTATATTTAAGAATGTTCTAATTTTGCTACCAATCTGGAAGGCACACCATATAAACCAAGTATGCATGTTTGCATTTAGAATAAGAAAGGGAAAAAAAAAACAAGACTACCAAACAGCTGGGACAAGGGTAGGGAGTAAGGTACTTAGCTCACCTGTAAACTTTAAGTACCCCCTACCAAGAAAGACGAAGAAACAACTGCAGTCATCTAGTTAGTAATTATAATGCAATATTTCTAAAAATCAAGATGAATGCAAAAAAAATCATGACGCTGAACAAAATATCAAAATTTTAAGTAAGAATAGGATCTGCCTCCTGCAAGCGTACAACTCAGCCTCACTCACCTCACCCTAATCCCAGACCTGCTACAAATTTTAAAGAGTTAGAAAGGTCTGAGTTTAAATTTCTAGCTATGTGACCTTAAACAAGTTATTCAACCTTCCTGATTCCCATTTTCTCATGGTACCTCCATCCCTCCTAGGATTTCTGTCAAAGTTAAGTGAGATAATATAGGGGAAGCAGCATATATGAAGCTCAGTCTAGAGTAAGCATTCCACCTCTCCTCCCCTTCCTCTCTAAGCAATCCCTCAACAAAGCCGGTGGATGATATTTTATGTAGCAAGCCTTGTAGCACGAGCACCTAATCTGTCACTTTCTTCCTTTGATTCCACAGAGCAGCAAGAAGGCCGAAGTCCTGAACCCCATGATCAGTAGTGTATTGTTAGAGGTAAGTGGCCCCTGAGAGAAAGTGCTTCTGAATCAAAGCAAATGTTAGGGCTATGGTTGTTTTGGTTTTTTTTTTTTTTGATCTTTCTCCCAGGCAGTAAATGTTAGTGCAATTCTAAATCTTATCGTCAACAGTCTTTTTTGAGTACATTTGTGGAGCTCAACCAGCTGTAAACCCTCCGGTGAAGCAACAATACCTCATTTTCAAGAATTCCTGATTATAAAGAGAAATGCTAAGCTTGCACATTAATTTCCGTCGCTGTTTCCTCTGGCGGAAGCAGATTTTTGCGGCCAAGTTTGACACCAGATTTAGCATTGTGATTATTGACTGCAATAAGGGATTCTTGCTTCAGTGGTGATTTTCTTAAAAACGGGCACTTCCCTCCATTCACAATTACTCTTTAGTTTAGCTGGGTCTGAGCTCCAGACTGGCAAAATGACAAGTAGACTGGTTAGCCTCTTCCTGTGCAGTGACCAGAGGTGCCATCCTCTGCAACCACTTGCTCTGTGGCCTGTCCACTCGCCAGGACTTTGTAGCATAGATAGGAAGCTGCCCTGATACCACTGTGTCTTCACCAGAAGCAGTGATATGAGAGAAGAAAAGAGGCCCGCAGACATTCATGAGTCGTAAGGCACCATGTTTTACCTGTGGTTGGTGGAGGAAGGCCTTCCATTAGGGGTCACACTATAAGAAACAGGCATATCTATAGCCACAGGGCACCCAGCTGAAGCCACAAGGTGCTAACAAGTTAAGTTTGCACACAGGCAGTGAATATACACCAGCTTTTTGCAGCCTGAAGTAGCTGTCAATTGCAAAATTTGGAAATTATCGAACTTCCAGTCATGGAGGGCTACCTGTATATTTGTAGCCATGTTTTTAGGAGTCATGCCTTACCATTAAGGAACACTCCTGACGTACAAAAGTAACAAAGTGGTGGCACCAAGTGTTATTGTATAGGTCACAGCCACACCGTGGATGGAGTCGACTAGAAGAGACAAGGCGTGTAGGCGCAGGTTATGGAAGGACAGTCACAGTTAAGAGGAAACCCAGGCAGTCAGAGACAGAAGAATCGAACAAAAGAGCCTCTCCCCTGGCCACAAAGAAGGCATTCGCAGGTTAATTTATCACATCAGTCATGAAGACTATGAGGTCAAGTGTTTATCCATTCTCCCATTGGAAGTTTTCGCATGCTTTAGTTACCTGAAACCTTAAAGGGCCCCTCCCTCTTGCTGTATGTTAGAGCACCATAGAATATGAGCGGCAACATTGTATATACAAACCAAGGAGAAGGTACAACGCACGTGGGAGGATGACAGTGTTCAAGGTTTGCATGAATAACTGCACAATAATATCTCCACTTAGCTTTATGTAGACCATTCTTGTTTATTCAGCAATAGGTTAGGACAAACTAGAGCTTCCTGTATACTATGCTTGTGTGTTATTTCAGGGCAGTGGGGTTGATCTGGGAAGAGGATAGTTAAGATTGGGTATACTGGGTCATGAATACACACACATTGATGTGCCCTAAATATCTATAGAAATGGCTTGCCTCATTCTGAGTGAATTCTTCCCTCTGTTAGTGTAGAAAATTAAGAGCTGGACAGACTCCATCCAAAGGAATGTGTTTACATTCTCTCTAAGCACCAACATTACAAGAAAAATATTATAATATATTTTGGGGCTTGATGAGAGGGAACATTATCAAATTGGATGAACTGCAAGACTGAACTATGAAAATAACCCTTCAATCACATTTTTCTCCTCTCCTAGGGCTGCAATAGCACGACATACATTCAGGATGCCTTCCAGCTGCTCTTGCCAATTCTGCAGGTTTCACATATCCAGACCAGTTGTTCAGAAGCACAGCCATGATCTGGCCAGACTCCATCTAGTTAAGGGAAGCAGCAGGCCACATTGCTTTGACGTATTTATCACTGACGGTGATGTTTTCTATGCGTCTGGCTGCAGACGCCCATTTGACGACACTACAAGCAATTTTGCACAGACAGTATTGAGAATGCAAGTTCAAAGAGAGTATCATTTCTCTTAATGTATATGGTTGGTTTACAAACAGTTGTATTTTCTTTATGTTAATTTAAATTTACACAGCTTTGTATCAGTAATTTCCTTTAATCTGAAATTCACTCACAAATGCTCACCGCCATTTTCCTGGTCAAGCATGCTATATTTAAAAATTCATTGGCAGACCCTAGACTTTTTTTTTTCTTTAATCCTTTAAATTTCCACCTTCAAAATTTCCATTCTTATAGTATTTCTTTAAATCAATTCTAATACTGAACTTAGTTTTGTTACATAAATGCATGGGCAAAGATAACACTTCTTATAGATTTACTTTGTATGGTTAAAGAGGAACATAAGTATCTCTTTGTAGCCATTCATTCTTGGAAAAGCATTTATTGAGCTCCTACTCTATGCTCACAATAGAGTATCATGATCTCACCCCAGTAGAGACAGATATTCTGAAAGAGGGTTAATAATAATTCTTAAGCTGCTTTAAAATACTAATAAATTTTTTAAACCTTAAAAAATTTGCATAACAAGGCAAATTAATGGTGTTTAATATGTTCTACCATTCAATTTCTTGTATTTTCCCACGCTCCTTAAACTGTTGTATCCCAAACTTTATACGAGGTCGCACAATTAAGTTTGCAAGCTTTCCACCATGCACTTAAACGGTGGGAAGTTCGCAAACTTAATTGTCCAACCTTTTCGTATACGGGGTGGAAATATATATGAAAAGGAGTACTAAAGAGTATCTAGTTTAAAATTGACTTCTTATGACTGTAAATACATGATAGCATAATTACAAAGCTTGGAAGTATTCATACAGAAAAAGGGTTTTCAATACAGTAGGCCCCCAGGACTGCATTTTTAAATCTACTACAGTTGAGTCAGGCTATATTATGAATTATACAGATCATACTCACCAGGAGCAAGTACCATCATTGCTTCTTTTTTTTTTTTCCATCATTGCTTCTAAAGGGCAGAAAATACTGATGTATGGGTTGACTAACTGGAGTGTTGATCCGTGAGAGGCTGCACAGAAGACCCCGTCGCCAGGAGAGGCCCTTTCAATGGGCACGTCTCCTCCTGAGCTCCACACGCTCATTCCGGGTGGGGTATCATATAATGCTGCTATTTCAGGTCCCGTCGACACCCCTCCAAGCACGGTCACAAGATGCCTTTCCCAGTGGCTCTCTCCAGATCAAATGAAGCCTATACTTTTGCAAGTGTGAAAAATCCCTCCTTCGTGTTAGCTTTTATTCCTCTTATAGAGTAGACTCCTTTGTTCCATACAGGCCAAGTAGGGATATTTTAATATCCTACTGTGTCTTATAGCATCTTGTTTATCAGCATCCTGTATTTCATTTGTATCTCTTGAAATGGCCACATGGAAAATGTATGAAGAGTTTATTTACAATCTGGAAAAAATATTATCTGAGGAATTAGTTAAAGATGCTTTTTTTCCTACTTGCTTTTTTTTTTTCCTTTTAGTTTCAGGTGTACAAAACAGTGTAATAGTTAGACATTTCACCCCTCACAAAGTGATAACCTCTCTCTCCCAATCCACTACCCCTCTGACATCATATACAGCTGTTACAATCCCATTGACTCTATTCCCTATGCTGTACTCCATATCCCATGACTATATATATATATAAAATTATAGTTGACATACAATATTATTCAGCTTCAGCTTCAGGTGTGTAGTGCAGTGGTCAGGCATCTACATCATCCGTGAAGTGGTCTCCCTAATAAGACATGTGTCAATCTGACACACTACAAAATCTTTACAACATTATTGATTATATTCCCTG